ACAGGACCTTGATCTCCCTATTGGTCTTCGTAAAGGTAAACATCAGTGCACCATTCCTCAGCCAATTTATCTCATTGCTAATTACATTTCATATGACTATCTGTCTCCCTCGTCTACTTCTTTCCTTACTTTTATAGATTCAATTTGCATATCTAAGACAGTTAAGGAAATTTTGAATCATTCTGATTGGCATAATGCAATGCTTGAGGAGATAAATGCTCTCCATGAAAATCATACTTGGGATTTAGTGGATCTACCCAAAGAAAAAAAGATCGTGGGGTGCAAATGAGTCTTTTCAGTCAAAATAAACTCAAATGACTCAGTAGCAAGACTTAAAACCCGACTTATAACAAAAGACTATGCTCAAACTTATGGGTTGATTATTCTGATACTTTTTCTCCATTGGTGAAACTTATATTTGTCCACTTATTTATCTCCATTGCAACATCTCACAATTGGCTCTTACACCAGTTAGATATCAAGAATGCATTCCTTCATGGCGACCTTGTAGAAGAAGTGTATATAGAGTAACCACCTAAGTTTGTTGCTCACGGGAGAATATAGAAAAGTTTGTCATTTGAAGGAAATCTTTATATGGGCTGAAACAAAGTCCATGACAGAGTGTGTATTCTATATGATAATGAGTTGAAAAAGAAATTCGTGACAGATGCCCATATCTCAAAATTTGTCATACATCCCGGAAGCATTAAAATGTATCAAAATATGCGACTCCGATTTTGGTGGAACGAGATGAAAAGAGATATAACTGACTTTATTTCTAAGTGTTTAGTACGTCATCAGGCCAACACAGAGCATCAACGCCCGGGTGGGCTACTTCAGCCATTACCAATTCTGAAGTGGAAGTGGAAACATATCATCATAGATTTTGTGACAGGATTGTCTAAGGCACGCTCAGGACATGATATCATCTGGGTAATTGTTGATCGGGTTACAAAATCTTCCTACTTCTTGGCCATCAGAATAACCGATTCCTTGAACAAGTTGTCAAGAATGTATATCTGAGAAATAGTCAGGTTACATGGAATGCTAGTGACAGTAGCGTCCGATAGGGACTCAGGTTCATTTCTCGGTTCTGGTCTAGCTTTCAACAAGCTATGGAAACAAAACTGTCATTTAGTACTGCATTTCACCCTCAGACCGATGGACAGTCAGAAAGGACGATCCGCACACTTGAGGATATGCTTCGAACTTGTGTTCTTGACTTTGGGGGGGCCATTAAGATGATCATCTACCCCTGAGAGAGTTCGCCTACAACAACAACTACCAAGCAAGTATTGGCATGGCTCCGTATGAGACATTGTATGACCGCCCATGCAGATCGCCGATCTGTTGGGAAGAAGTGTGTGATAGAAAACTGTTCAGCCCAGACCTTGTACAGGAGACTACAGCCAAAATAGTTAAGATCAGTAAGAACATTCAGACAGCTCAGAGCAGACAGAAGAGTTATGCGGACACTTGGAGGAAGGATTTGGAATTTGAGAAAGGCGATCGAGTGTTCCTTAAGGTCACTCATTTCAAGAGAATCAGTAGGTTTAGCAAAAGGGGGTAACTAAACCCCCGGTTTATTGGGTCATTCGAGATCTTAGACAAAATTGGTACCATCGGCTACAAACTGGCCCAGCCTCCAGAACTTTCCAGGTTCTATAATGTGTTTCATGTGTCCATGTCACGCAAGTACAACTCGGACCTCTGACGTCTTGACCCACGAGTCTCTTTCATTTCAGGAAGATCTGTCCTACGAAAAAATACCAGTAGGTATTGTAGACCGAAAGAGCATATTACTCCACAACCGAAAAATTCCCTTTATTAAAGTCATATGGCAGAATCACACAACGAGAGAGGCCACATGGGAACTAGAATCAGACTTCAGATCCCAATATCCCCAGCTGTTTGATTTTGAGTGAGAGAGACAAATTTGAGGGAGTAAATTTCTTTTAAGGGAGAAGAGTTGTAATGCCCAATTTTAATTTAAATTGCATAAATTAATTTATGCAATTTTTTAAATTTTTTTTTAAAATTTAATGTAAAAATAAAGGAAATTTGATGGAGGATGAAATTAAAAACGGTTTTGGAGAAAATATGTGAAATTTTGGTTCTGATTATATTTTTGAAAGAAAAATCGAAAAACAGGGAGCCAAAATGCAATTTAGAAAATTTATGACACGCAGGATGCCCGATCAGCGGCCCCAATAAACTAGGACGCGCCGAGTGGCAACGGACGTTGACGCGGTGTCATGTGGGAGGCCACACGGGTGATCCGCGTGCCCGCGATCGAACAGCCCAAATCCGTTCCCATGCGCACGGACGGTCTGGATCCGTTCCCTCCCTAAACGCGATCGGATGGTCAAATTTAAACACGATCGAACGGCCTAAATTAAATCGCGATGAATGACTCAGATTCACTCTCTATTTAATCGCGATCGGACGGTTCAAATCAAACACGATGGACGGCCCATATTAAATGAGGACGGATATAAATAACCCTTTTCACACCAAACTCTAACCCTAGCCGCCAGACACCCTCGCCGGAGAAGAAAACCCAGCCGTCGGGAAGGAGAGCCGCCGCTACCTGCCGCCATGCCGGAGCTACTTCCGACCGCCAAAAAAGGTTGACCAGAGCAAAACACCCAACCGCAACGTAAGCCGGAGGAGCCGCCGCACCGAAAGCCCCGCCGACAGTGAGTTTCGATTTTTTGTGTTTTTTCGGCCAACCGATACCCCTTAACGTGTTTTCTCGCAGTGGTTGATGCAAAATCGACCGAAAACAGCCAACCTGAGACAGATTGCCGCTGCAAGCGGCAGCGCCGTTGCCAAAACACGGCGGAGCCGCAGTGCTGGAATTCCGAAATTGGCTAAAATTGGGTCCTGAGACTGATTTTGGATTTTTTTAGACATTTATGGGTACTTATAACGCGTTTTAATTCCTGTAGAAAAATTCAAGAAATCCGGAAACCACCAATAGACGCAGTCAACAAGTTTCGCTTTTCAGGCATCGAATTAAGTAAGAATCTTTCACCATATTCTTTATATGGAATTGAAGTATAAATAAATAATAATACGATATTTTGTATAATTTAGAAAATATTCATAATTAATTACGGGTTATTAATGAAACCGGAACCGGAAATCATCTATTGTTGATTTCATTTAAATTATTTTACAATTAATTGTATGATAGTATTTCATTAATCAATTTTATAGTTTTAAATGCACGTATTGTTTGATTTATGTGATTACTATTGAATTGGAAAATAGAGACTAAAGAAAAACAGAAAATTGTGTGATTAAGTGAATGGATGACACGACAGCTTTACTAAGTATCCTGAGAGATGGTGGACGGACCGGGTACAATAGGGAACCCTACTGTGAACGTTGTCTCACACTGGATAGGATATCGAGATATGGTAATTTGACGTTCATACCGGACGGGATATGAGAACGGTCCATTTCACCGTTATACCAAACGTGGTATTGAGATTTAGTAATTTGGTACTCATACCAAATAGGGTATGGGAACAGCCCGTTAATTGAGAATATTAAACGAAAGGGTTCACACGTAGCGGGGACATCAATGTAAACCCCTATGGATACTAGCAGACTTATGGAAAGGGACAGTTTTTGTTTAATTTATGGAATATGGATTTTTAATGTGTGCATGTTACCGATGGCATATGAAATCATGATAAGTGTTATGTTGTTGTCTCTATAGGTAGTTTTTATAAATCTCGCTGCGGTAAGTGGGCGGTAAATGATTTTATTGTTAATAAATGAATTTTTGTTTAATTAAGTATTCCATTAATTATTTTAATTTTCTACCAACCTTCATTTCTGTGCCGGTGAGTAGCGTGACATTCTTATTGGGTTAGTGTAACTCATTCCTTATTTAACCATTTTAAATCAAGAAGACCAGGATCCAGAGTCCGATCTACAAGAGGGTTGCGAGTAAGATGCTAGTTTATTTATTTCTTGCTTATTTCCTTATTTTTTTGTATTTCTTTCAAGATGGTAATTCTCGTAGTACTATTTGCTACTTTAAATTATTATATAAAGAATGTAAACCCTAACTAATCATTTCGCTTCCGCACTTAGGTTATTATTTATTTTCTTTGAAATTCCGGGGATGTTACACACATTGAATGCTTTGCAGATGCTGATTGAGCTGGATCTAAAATTGATTGAAGGTCCACTACAGATTATTATGTTTTCATTGGTGGGAACCTGGTATCATGGAGGAGTAAAAAGCAGATCGTTGTATCCCAATCCAGTGCAGAGTCCGAATACAAAGGTATGGCCTAGTACACATGTGAAGTTTTATGAATACAACACCTCTTAGTGGAAGTGGATTTGAATCCCATATTACCTGCAAAACTCTGGTGTGATAATTAAACTGCTCTTCATATTGTCTCAAATTCGGTGTACCATGAAAGAACTAAACACATTGAGATTGATTATCACTTCATTCGTAAGAAAATTAAAGAGAACTTAATTTTCACCGGTTATATGAAAACAATGGAACAATTAGGAGATATATTCACAAATGCTTTAAATGAAACCCAAATTGAATATTTTCGTAACAAGACATGATCAATATCTATATTTCAACTTAAAGGGGAGTGTTAAACTATCACAAAATATATTACAGAATATTTTTATATAATTATTAGTTGATTTCTTAACATTAATAGGATGATTTATGCTTCTATATATAAATCCCTCTTCTATGTATATATACCCCTAACTCTATGTAACGAAATGTATGTAAATATTCAGAATTCTTTTCCCTAAATCTTACAGCTACCACTAAGCATAGTAGTGTTAAATCGGGCCTCATGGTGAGCGAATGCCTGAATAACAAAGCCAATAAGTAAAACATGGTAGTTGCATTCATAACCAGGTGTGCCCTATGAGAGAGTTAATATTTGAGGATAAAACATAAAGAAGGAAAGAAAAAAGTTCAACGTGATCCTGACAGCACTTACCAAAATCCTTTGCAGCATTCACTGCCACAACATTAGCCTCGCCGTTAATCCTTTTCATTTGTTCCTCATTGCCAAAGCCTCCAATTGTTGAAACCACCGCTGTAGCCCCACCAAGCACTTCATCCCAATTTACATAAAAAACATCACCTGCATGATAAAGAAATAAATATAACAATCTGCAACCAACAAAACATAGTTCATATGAGAGCCAAACCACCAAGTAGAGCTCATAGATACATATTACCTACTCGGGATTCATAAGCACAAAAACAATTACTGAGTATTTACAAACAAACTTAAAGCTCATAAGGATCAATGCTGAGCTTAAAAAAGATTTAGTCAGAGATAAAAGAACAATTTCTTAAAAGTTTCACTCCCTTATTATACAATCAAGTAAAAAACAATTATGCAAGTGAAGAACAGGATTCATCTAGCTAACTAGAAACTGGAAAAGAGTCAATGCTTGAACTGCTTACAAAATAATTGAAGCTAAAACTTTTATACTGTACTTCTTAAAAAGATAACTGAGTTGTTAAGAGTTGTTAAACGGACTATTTATTCAATAGAGCATTAGGAATTGTACATGCCTGGTATCCAAGTAACCTGATCAACCCATGAACCTGGGTAAGTAGGACGGCCTGACCTGAGAAATTATTAGTTTCAGCATCCAAATTGATTGTGACAATGAGATAGTAAACGAATTACTAGAATACCCCAATAAATGACCTCGTTACAACGATCTCCATTATGGAAATACAATACAGATTATATAGCATTTCTTGCACCTGCTAAGGCTTGTGACTTCTATGCCCTTGGACACTGCAGCCTTGCAGATTGCAGAGCCAACAAAACCACTGCCTCCTAAAACAACGACCTAAAGAGAAAAGCAGGTTGGTAAAACATCTTTTGATTAAAAGTGACAGAAAATGCATATATTTATTTTTATGATCTAATCATAGAAAGATTAAGATTACAATCTAGTCATACCCGTTCAGATTTAACATCTGCCACAATATCTATTGTGGACGATATAGAGTCCTCCTTCACGCTTGCATCTGAATATCTACACTTTAGACCAAACTTCCAAGAGCTGCATTTATATTGAAAAAAATCATCAGCTTCAGTCTCAAACCATAAACCTTTCATCATGAAAAATAGCGGCCCAAGCAGACAAATTTAACAATGCATTAGTCTTCAACTTCAATGTTTTCACTAATTTTGTTTTCCAGGGTCCAAGTAGACAGAAACCTGTGCTAAAATTGACGAATATGATGGGTGAACCATATAACTCTTAAACTAAGTTGGACAATGAATTTGGGCAAACAAGAAAACAGAGAAAGCAACATGACTGATTATAAAATAGATAGAAGTACAGAAACAGTTAAGAAAAATGACTCTTCATTCTCTTGGCCCATTCATAGTTGAGTTCCATCCAACTTCGGTGCCAGAAAAACGAAAGCCTCTATTCTTTCCAGCTTATGAAATCTTCAGAAAGAAATAATCTCACAAAAACAAGTAGAACTTTTAGATGCTTCCATATTCCCATTTCATGTGACCACAATACTCAATATCATAACAAATCAACAATAGGAAGTTAAATTCACTGCAGCTAGAAATCTTGGCAACTAATTTAACCATTATAAACTGCTAGTCTTATCACCCACCTTTATCATTGCATTAACTGTGAACAAATTATCAGTTAATTTTCACCATAGACGGGCAATTTTCACTGTACACTGAATTTAAATCCAACAGTTGAAGCCCTTTCTTCTCGGAAACTCAATATACTAGACCTCTCAAAAGATTCACAAATTAAAAAAAAGCGCAACAAACCACAATTCAATATGTCGAGGTAATCAACTCTTGATGAAATATATACATATACATGTGTGTACATAAAGGGATAGAGTGAGAGAGAGAGAGAGAGAGAGAGAGAGAGAGAGAGAGAGAGAGAGAGAGAGGAGCACCGGTTCGAGAAGGACCTAGTTGGAAGGGAAGCTGTTGAAAGTGAAGATGGAAGCTTGAAAATAGTACTGACAGGCGAGAAGGATGTCATTTTGAACTGAGCTAATGTCTCCATGAGCAGCAGAGCAAGTAATATTCCTTCACGGAAAGAGTGGATTCGTTCTTAATCTCAAAAAATGGAAACAAATTAGGCAGGTTTTTCAGCTTCGTTGTCATTTTCTTTTTCTGGTAAATGATTTTTTGGTTTTTTATTTTCTTGCCTGAGGATACAAGTGTGCGTTTTCGGTTCGGGCCATAAAAGTTTGATTAGATTGAGCCAGACTAAATAATACTTTAGATTCACATATTAAAAATATATTTTATTAAATTAAAATCACATATTTTTTAATTTATTGTTATAAAATATAAGCTTGAATATATTTTTTATTTATATATATATATATATTTTTTCGATTTAGTTCCTACCATAATTTTGTGTTGGTTCAGTATCCGCAATTTGAATGAGTTTAATACATTTTTAGTTGTAGCATTTGATACCATTAATGTAAGTGATATAAATTTACTAATTTTTTTTGAACTAACTGCCACATATTGTCTGATTTGACAGCTGCATTAGATTTTTTTTTTTGTCATGTTATTTTTTTGGGTTATCATTTTTAAAAATATACTATTTATATAAAGTGAGATTACATGCTTAAGTAATATGTAGTGAATAATGTATTATAAGATAAACATGTTAGAAAGAGAAGATGGAACATATAGAAGTTACTGCAAATGGTTTTTAATTAAGAAAAGAATGTGTTGTAATAAAATTATGATTACATGTTAATTAAATGTGTATATTATCATATAATAAATTTATAAGATTTTATGTATTATTTTTAATTTTTATTTCATATATTTCACAAATTAAGAATTTTAATATAAAATTTTTTAATCATTGAATTTATTTGTTTGTTTATAAATATAATTTTAAGGAGTTTATATATTTCAGATAAATGTTTAATTTGTATTGAATACATAGAGATTTTTTTAATATAATTTTGATTATTATATTTGTCTCTTTTTTAATAAAATTATTTATAATTTTATATTTTCTTTTATTATTTAAACATCTGTCAAAATTTAATTAAATATTAAATAAATAAATAATACGATAAATTTAATATAAAAATTAATTAGAGCTGAAACTGTCATTTACATGATCTTATGCATAAAAATTGTTTTAGTTATAGATTTTAGGTTAAGATAAAAGTTTAATTTTGATTTTTTTTTGTTATAGACTTTTCATTTTTTTGATGGATATCATTTTTTTAAAACTATAATTTTCTCTTTTTTTTTGTTAAATTTTTATTTTGATTTATACACAACATATGATATAGTTAATGTGATCACTTAGTTAAACCAAGTTATTTAATCAATTGTATAGTATAATATATATTACACAAGAGTTTATAAAATATTTTATTTTTAAAACTTATATAGATATATAATATATAGTTAAGAGCTTCAACAAAATATTTTATTTTAAGAATTTTTTTTAGAAAACTTTTAAAATATATATGTGCACATATTTAATTATAATATATAATTGTAACTAGACAGGAGCAAATAAGAATAAATAAATATTTCACTATTCTATACATGTATATTTTAATTCTGTTCAAATCCAAGTTATTCTAAATTCTAAAAACTAAATTAGCCAAAACTCAAAAACACAATTAGCCCCACCCCCTTTTTCTTTTGATCTTCCCTTTCCTCTGCTTATTTTTCGTTCGTCACACGGGTCTGGCCCGGAAATGAACCAAACCAGGCCGGACCCTTTATAAAACGTTCCCTTCCAAATGCCCGCCCTTCAGGGACAGAAAGGGAAGAGACTAGTTTTGTTTTATTTCTTTCTGTTTTTCTCCCTTGAGAGTGAAACAAGGAGCAGGTCGGGAAGGTTTTTAATTTGGGTTCCCTCTTCCTTGATTGACAGAAAGAAAAGAGAAGTTTTTGCTCTTTCTTTCTTTCTTTCTTTCTTTCTTTCTTTCTTCAGAGTAAACAGAGGGCAGGTGAAGAAGGTTTTTAACTTGGCTACCACTTCCTTCATCGACAGAGAGAGAAGAATATTAGTTTTGTTCTTTCTTTCTCTTTTCAGAGTAAAAGAGGGGGCAGGTGAGGCAGTTGTCAGGGATGATGATGATGGTGAATGATTATGCTAATTAATTTAAATTAAGGAGTGCACGCAAGAGCTAAAGAGGACGTTTCTTAGGGAAGAAAGGGTATGTCTCCTCCTCTGCCCTTTTTCTTTCTTTTCTTTTGGGAATTCTAATATTTTCTTTTCTTTTCGTAAAATTAATCTGGGATTGTTGCTTTCTTTTTTGAGTCGGTTGATCGGGAATTATGTGATTTGAACATATTGGGTTATCTAATCTTGATTTTGGGAGTCTTGATTGAAATGGTTTTGAACACAGAGAATCTTGGTGCACACTCTAGAAATGTTTTCGGTGAACTGGAAATTGTGTTTCTTGGTTCTTCTGGGGAATCTTCTAGTTCGAGATCATCCAAAATCTGGAATCATCATCATCATCAAATTGATTTTGAAATTGATGATTCTTCAATGAACGTTTTCTTTCTAAAGTATATTGATAGATCCAGAAACTAAGCAGTTGTGAAGTGGTCAACCAACATATCCCATATCCCTTATTTTCCGTCTGTCCATTATCTTTCACTATCCTATTTTCTTTTTAATTACCTTAGAAGTAGGGAATAGCAGTTAGTATTTTCTGTATTTGAAGTATGAAAAATTAATGAAAAGAAAGATGAAGTTTATTCCAGAAAACCAGCGGTAATTTTCTCACCCAAAGCAGAAAAACTCATTTAATTTCACTCTTGCTCTGACTGGGACCTATCAATTGGTATCAGAGCCATGGTTACCGAGGAAAAAAGAATAGAAAAACTAGAAATCAGTCTGGAAGGAATACAAAACCGTTTGAGCCAATGGAGATCGGGTTCGCCAAGAAATTCTATCTGATCGAAGATTGCCTCCAGCGGCTTGCGGACACTCTGAAGATGAACGGAGAGGGCTCCAGTAGCAATATTATAGACTGCCCTGGACAGACACAAACCAACTACAATGAGCCGAAACCGCCCATGTGAATGGCGATCTACACATTACCACTACCGACAGTTGAATTACAGAACATAATTGTCGAAAACATTCAGAATGATTGTGATAAAAGCGCCGCCGAGGAAGAAAGAAGTTCAGATTCTACACTTGATTTCTACTGTGGTGAGCCGGGCAAGATGAGGTTCCCCTTCTATTCCAACAGTGTAAACTCTACTTGTAGCCCGTTCAAGTTAAACTGTAGTGGGTTAAGTCAGACGATACAACTAGTGGAGGGAGGAAGATGGTATGACGTGGAAATGGATACAAAAAAGGGACGATGGCGACGACCAGCATCAACTGCGTGCAGCAGTACCTTCTTCATTGCGGTTGTCTTATTTGTCATCTCTATACTCCCGCGATACCCAAAAAAAGGGAAAAGGTGAAAACGGAAGAGGAAGAAGGCGACCTGTGGAAGATATAGTGTTGCTGGGGTTGTTGGGAAGTTTTTAGCGAACATATTCTAAGTTGGGTTTGTGGGAGATATAGTGAAATCTGTCATGAGTTGGGAAGAAAGAAAATCAGTAAAGGCGCTAGGCAATGATAGGGAGAACCCAAGATTGATTCCCTATGGGGTACCCTTTTTTTCTTCCAATCTTCCTTTGTAGTTTTTATTGTGAACCCAATTCACTTTGAACCTTTATTTTTGGACTCCAATCTTAATTAAACAATTGAAATTTGTTTTTGTTGGAATGTAATTTTGAGAATTGTAATTTTGAGAATTTATATCTACCTTCGTGATTTTAATTTTGAGCAGAGATGTAAAATGAAACATTATGTTATTTTGTTATTGTGTGGTGTATCCTGGCTATGTGATTTTGTTTATGAATAGATTCAAAAATGATAATTGACTTATGATAATAAAAAATATTAAATGAATGAAAATGTACATCTGGTGGTTGAGAAGTTTAGATAATGAAATTGTCCCAATTTTAATTTTTTTATTGCGTTTAAATTTTATTGTAATTTTTTGCAATAACATTATAAGTACATCCATTTACACTTCTTATGGTTAATTGAGGTTGATTGCAGATTCATAACTAGAAAAGAAATAGTCTTACTTCAATATAATTCGTTCAATATTGAGGGACAAGGACATTAAATGAATTTTTAAATAATCTAATTTGTAATAAGAAGAATAATTGGACTTTTAAAAAAATATATATATAATGATTATGAAAATGACATCATATATTATTTATTTGATGAATTGGAAAGGTTATCTTTGTTTGTTTTTCTCATGCTAAAATTGTGATCACAACTTTTATGACAAGAAATACTTTATCAAAACTAATTTGGATGGAGGAAAAAATTAAGAAACTCAGGTAGGTAAACTAGTCAAATTTTAATTATATTTTCCCTTTTGATGCATTTAAATTCTCATTCTCTTATCGGTTTGTAAAATTTATTATTAATTTTATTTATGAACAAATGTCAAATGCATGCACTTATAGGATAGTTAAATCCAAAATATACTTACAAATTATAACTAAAGTAGCTACTCTGTATAAAAGAATAGAGGGCTCATATCTTTTTACTCTGTGCAATTACATCTTGAATTTATAATAAAATGTTAATGTAATAATTAACATTTGATAATATTTTTAATAGAATTATAGTAATTCTATTGATTTTTGAAATTTTTAAAAGAATTCAAAAATCAAATTTTTGCAAAACCAACATGTAATCTCAAATTAATTTTGTTCATCTACCATGTTTGTCATATCAATTTACAAAATTTTTAAAAAATAAAAAATAAAAAAATAGAAAGAAAGACGTGCTCCTCTTTTTAATTGATCATTTACTTGGTTATATACTCATCTCCTTTATCCCGTGGATTTTTCAAAAATCACAAACTAGATGTTTTAAAAAGATGAGGGAGGAATAATTGGGGGGGGGGGGAAGTATATGTGTCCATCATTGAAGGAGGCCATCTGCGGAAAATTTAGGGAAGAAGAAGAATTGGGGCATTTGTGAGTGGCTTTGAGATTTACAAAAATTAGGAATTTTATTTTTTTTAATTGAATATTTTTCAACTTATTTAAATTGAAATGATTATCATATCAACTATCACGTCAGATAATACATAACACTTAATATGAAAAAAAATATATTGTAATTTTAAGTCATTCATCAACATCGATAACACGTGATATGCATGTTAATGATGTTAGATTTTACAAATCTCTCGGTAACACGTGACATATATTTAATGATGTTAAATTATATAAACGTAAAGAACTAAATTCAATATTTTTTTTGAAGTACAAACATAAATTCAAAATATTGATTAAATCAAACAAAAATAAATAGTACAATAAGCAAAAATGTATTTGATCTTAAAAATATAATTTTCAAATAGAATTATATACTCATGTAAGATAGTTGTTATTGGTGATCTATTTTTGAATAATTTGTAACTTATGATTGATGACTTATAGCTAACAAATGATGATTTATGATTTTGTTACTTTTATCGTATAATTTTGAATCAAGTATGCATGTTCTGTTAAAAAAATATATAACTAATAATTACTTGATAAATAAGAGTTACTTCAATATTACTTGACAATAAATTTGTATTAATTATCACATCTAAACAACAAAATTATAAATTAACTAATGGTACCATATGATAACTATAAATTTATTATTTTATTATGATATAAGGTTTAACATTTACTTAGCTTTCAAACTCATTCTCTCTTAGGGGTTATTTAAACATTTAATATACCTAGCTTTGTTTTGTGTGCATATCCATAGAGCATTTTGATGTCTCCTTTTGCTGCCAAATAATTGAGTACAATTATCGTTTACATTAGTAGCCATTTAATAAATTTATTATTGTATATGTTTTATATAAAGTTATATAATGATTAATATTGATAATAAATATGATTGAAAAAATAAGTTATATCATATTTATTTATGTATTTATTTAAATATACGTAATAAAAAAACTAAGTTTATATAAAAAAATAATAAATATTATAAAAAATAAATAAAGAAAAAAAAGTGCACATAATTAGTAGAAGATTGTATTTTATAATAAGGTTAACATAACCTTTGAACTTAATATTATAGTGAATTTATTAGGCAAGATAATGAAAATGCTGAGACGAGTATGTTTCAGTGAAAATATTAATAAATTAATTTTGAAATAAAATAAAAACGAAACATATTATTGAAATATATAATGTTATTTAAAATATTTATTATTTTTTATATTATTTGTGCACTTATGTAATACATTACTACGAGTAATTTAATAACACTTTATTTATTCGTAAAATTGTTATTTTAATAATATATTAAATTAATTATTTTAAAATAAATATAATTTATTATTTGTATGTATCAGAACACATTATTACGAACAATCTTTATAATAATTTAATTACTTGTAAGATTATTATTTTATTAAGAGTAAATAACCATTTTAATACTTTAGTTCAAAGTAATTATTGCTATACTTTAGTTCAAAGTAATTTTTTTATTATAAATTAATCTCTAAATATTTAAATTCCCTTAATTTAAACTAAAAATAAATAAATTAAGGCTTGTTTGAAAAAATTAAGAAATTATTTTATTGAAAAGACAATTAATAAATTATTATAAAATATTAAAAAATTATTAGGAATCCTCATGCCTCACATTATAGATTTTCCCTTATCTCCATAGGCCAGCCGGCTGCTGGAATTCCCCAATACGTGCGTTTTGGGCGATGAAAATCACGTGCGCCACTCCTCCACCGCCACCTCTTAATTTATTTTATTTTATTTTTTAATTTTTTAAAGCAAAAATTTCCCGGATAAGGGAGTAAGAATTAAGAGAAGAACAGGATTGTCTCCCTCCTTCACACTTTTTTTTTCCTTTTCCTTTTCAATCCCTCCCTCTCTCTCTCTCTCTCTCTCTCCATACCTTCCATTTCAAACGAGATAAACAAGCTGATGTCTTATTTGCCTCTCGCATTCTCCTCCTCTATCACCACCACCGCAGCAGCATCCTCCACCGTTCCTAGGGTTCCATTCTCCTCCCGTAGCTACGCTTCTGCAAACTCTTGCAATCGTTTCGTTGTTCTTCGATCATACTGTTTGCAAAGGCCTGTATATCAGCGCAATCTCTCTTTGTTACGAGTTAAGGCAATGGCGAAGCTGGTTCAGGATAAGGAAGCAATTGTCGCCGCCAGTTCTTCCGGCGTCCCGGATGAGGAGGAGGAGGAGGAGGAGGAGAGGAGGAAGAAGGAGCTCGGTCACTCCCGCACGTTTCTCGATGCGCGCAGCGAACAAGGTTCGGTTTCTTGAAAGTGTGTTAATCGAGTGTCGATTTGCTTTGTTGCTCGGTCTATTATTTGTGGTGCTGGCTGCCTTTTGGTTGGTAGCTGAGAAAATGTGAGAGGTCGGAATGAAGCAAGTGTGGGATGTGGTGACTTTTTCTCGGCGATCGAGATTATTTGTGTTTTCTTCCTAATGGCGAGAAACTGTTTTACGAAGAAAGAGGACAGATTATGTAATACTGCTGAAATGCTATAGTTATCTTAATTTTATAGGTCAAATCTGATTAGCGAACAAATTTTGTTTTTTTAGATGATTTATGTAAAGTTCGCTGCAATCAAAACAATGTAGCTATAGAAATTCTTCGGAAAGATTAAGCAAAAATTTTATTTTTATTTTTCATTATTTTTAAAATCTTAAAATCTTTAAATAACTCAAATATCTACGATGTTGCTTGCGTTGAGTTTCAATTCATGGATTGGTTTATTGATTTATATTTAATTTTTACGTGGGCCCGGTAACCTGATGCTAGCAGGCAAAGGAAAGAAACATGATAGCTTGATGTTGTTTTGTAACCTGACCTGAGAAAGGAAAAGAATATCTGCCCCATCCTTGTTTTCTGAAAATGTACTTTTCTGGACAAGATACTGTGTAATGTCCAAAATGCGATTGTACCTCCAGCCTCCAGGCTCCATTCGCTGCTTTCAATCATGTGCTACTAGCCTGGTAATTCCGGGTAGATAGAAAAATTATGGGAATAGGATCCCTGGATGTGGCCACTTTTATTGGATAAGCTACCATGTCTATTTTCATCAAATCATGAGTTCTTTTATTGCTTCCAGCGCTCAAGATGCACCTTCCGTATTTGACTTGGGATAGTGCCGTAAACAAGTAAAAGGTTCCTTAGGATGAGCAGGGAATTATAGGTCAGATCTCTAGTCATTCTTTGTGTACGCTTTATTTATTCTCCTACCCACCTCTCCTTGTCTTCCTCCATAAATTATTCAAATTCTCTCTCTCATGTGAAGCTTGTTCGCTTTATCCTGTGCTATTTGGTTGCTGACCCATACTTTACCATGGCTATCAGTGTGAGAGAAATAACCTCACAAAAAAATTATTAATGAGAGCGCTTTAATTGGGAATAACAGGTGGGAACGCTGCGTCATACTTTTCCATGTGGATCAATGTGAACGTTTTTATTCTTTTGGTTTGTCAGAGTTGGTTTAAAGGTCTGTCTTATTCCTAATTTGGCTTCCGCGTTCATTTTTTAGAGGAAGAATTGCATGATAAATGATATATAAATAATGAGCTTTGTCATTTTCCTGGAGGGGGGTGTATCGAATTGCTAGTTTTGTAGTTATAATTTGGGCACTTTGTCATGCTAGATCTTGTTTCTTATCATTTTTCCAAGTCTTGTACACTTTGATTTTACAATCCAAAGTTGGAATATATACTTCAGTGGATGCATCTTAGATTTGTCGTGTCTAATGGGAAAAAGGGCTTTGCTTTGAAGGTGGTGTTGGATGCTAGGAAAACTTAGTATGCCACTGCATATGAAGCATGGCGGTGGGGGAAAAACATTACGTTGTCATACTGAACATGGGTTTAATATACATCATAGCCTATTATGAGAAGTGCCAAGATCAACATTATGACAAGAGGAGTTCAATTATAAAAAATTTACATATAAGTTCAAATTGTTCTAAATATATCTTCCATTTCGTAGTCTGGTTGTAATCTTGTTCCCTTCTAGAGATTTCTCTGTGGTGGAAGTCATATGTTTGGTGAAGAATGGAACCTAGCATTGGGATAACATACTTATGTGTAGGAGCTTCCTAGTAATGATTTAGAAGGAAGAGTTTTATAGAACTTAAACAAGGTTCTAAGAGCAAACATGACGAAAGACGAGTAAAGAGAGGCTAGAAAGAAGGGTTTAAGGTAAGTGAAGGCGACAGAAGGATGGCAATACTGAAGTAACTGACGACTAAATGGCATGTACAGTTTTCTATATTTGTTGTATATGTATGTATATGTTGGTATGTGCATTGATAAAAGTTGAAATCTGTGAATATGGATCTTATGCTGCTTGAAAAAGTTTAATCTGTATTACTACTATTATTAATATTATTATACTGTTACTATTATTGTTATTTTTTTTTAATTTTTATTATTTCCCCTTATGCTGTACATTTCTTTGCAGAGCTCCTGTCTGGTATTGGGAAGGAAGCGGAAGCTGGCATGCTGCCTTCTGGTGTTGCTACAGGAATGGAACAACTATATCAGAATTATAAAAATGCAGTAAATAAAATGCTAAAACTCATTTTTTGTCTATCTATCTGAGTATCCTTTAGGTACATATTTAATATTCTTGGGAAATATGCCACATTTTGTCTATCCCTTTTCTTTATGCCTTTACAATCGAAAGTAATGTCTTCAGGTCCTATAGTTTACCAGGAGTCCAAATTGTTAACATGGTTGAAAATAACTATAGAATATGCAAATGATGGAACCAAGATAGAAATTAACATCACATGGGAATTTCATGCTAACAAGCACTTGAAATTCATAAACTAAAGTAGTTTTTTTTTCAAGGGGGGCCGGTACCCCCTGGTACCTTTGTACACAATAATATTTCACTTTATTTTTTTTAAAAAGTAGCATTTTTTTTTCAAGATCATGGGATTTACTTTTCCTTCCATTTTTTTTTTTGATTTTTTAAGTTTAGACAAAGAGAACTTTAAGGTTGCCATTAGGACAATGCATCAAAGGATCCAAATTTATGTGATCAAACAAAAGGGAATTGTGTTTAACTGCTTTTCTTTTTTGGTATAGAAAGAGCAGGCCTTAAGTAACCAAATTTTTATTATTATTATTTTTTGAAATAAAAGTGAAATATTATTATCCACAAAGGTACCAAGGAGGTACCGCCCAAATACAAAATAGTTATATATCAATTAAGTGGGCAATGATTAAATCAATGTCATCCCAATTTTTAATGTCATGATTCATCAAAATCAAAGTAAAAGTATGTATCCATCTATTTCTAATGTTTACAAAATTAGTTTCTATACCTTCAAAAGCTCTCGCGTTTTTTTTCTTCCACACTACCCAAAAAATGGTCAGTGGTATTAAGAAAAAATATTATTTCTTTTTACAAACACACGCCCACTCTCCTAACTCATCGCTAACACTCCCAGCCATGACCCAATTCAACCCCATAAGCCCGAAAACAGTATACCATAAGCTTTGAGTCACTGGACATCCCAGTAGTAAATGATAACATCTTTTCTCGTCAGCTTTGTATAGATAACATCTGTTAACCACTGTGATTCCTTTCCTTTTCAGCATGTCAAGTGTCAAAATACGTTCTTTAGCCGCTTCCCAATCAAAAAATGCCATTCTAGGTGGCTAAACCAAACTTTTATATTGCACAAGAGAAAAAGAGATTCAAATCTACTAAGTTCTATTTTAAGATACGGCTAAAAGAACTATGGTGTTTGAACTTGTTAAAGATGTCTCTAAAACATGTTCTTGTTTTGTTGGGTAAAAATAAAATAATGTGAAAGGAACCTAGATTTTTTTCTCTTGTGCGTGCTTAGACTTATTTCCAAGTGCTCATGTTAAGCTTTTTGCAGCATAATTTTTGTTTCCGTGTTGAAGGTTTCTCTAATCTATTAAAAACGAGTTTCGGGAGCATATTTTTATTTGGGAAGGTGAATGCCTCTCTTAGGGTTTCCTTTTTGTTTGAGAAGCTGTTCAAGAATGTATTCTTACTCTTGGCATGTTGATCAAAAGAGGCAAAATTTTGGTGAATGGGTGTTATTTGTACAAGAGTAAGGTAAAGGCATGCAATTTTATCCTTCTTTAGTGTCCATTAAGACATGGTTTGTAGCTTTTTTGGGTTTAGATTGGATTACTGCAAGCATAGTGAAAAAGGAGCTTTCGGCATAGAGAGACCTCCAAAGAGATAAGCAGACAATTAGACTCATCCTTTTGGTTATCTTTTGAGTCATTTGAAAATAGAGGAATAAAAGGACTTTTGAGGGGTTAGAAGGCAGCTTTGATAGTATAAAGGATTCTTTGTTTCAAGCTCTGAGCATTTTTTATCAAGGTTCAACATCTGTATTTAAATGAGGAATTAGGAGACCTTATTGATATTTTGTTAAGTTTTTAAATTTTTATTTGCGGGTTGCATCCCCTTAGTGCTTTTTGAATAATAACGTATTTTTTATTCAAAAAATCTAACATCTATTAAAAAGTATTTAAATGAGGAATTAGGATTAGATACTAATAGGATTTAAATAATAACATTTTTTGTTAAGCATGTTTTTCCATTATCCAACTTTACTAACTATTCTGTTTAGAATTCTCACAGGGCTATTGATAGAATAGAGGGTCAAATGAGAAGGTTCTTTGGTTAGGTGTTGGTGAGGAAAATAGGGATCATCTACTCAATTAGGATGTGTGTTGCAAATCCAAGAGTTCTTGAGGGTTAGGGATAAGAAATCTTGGATTAAAAATATATTTCTATCAGCTAAATGACTTTGATGTTTACTAAGGGTACCAGATTCCTTATGGTATGGGATGGGTGGGATGTCTTAGTTGGGAGTATGTCAGTCACCATAGCCCCTAGAAAGCTATCTCCCAAGCTTACATTACTTTCCTACCCCACACCCAGATACAAGTGGAAGATGGCTCTCGCTTGAGGTTTTGGGAAGACTGATGGATGGGCAGCCAATCTTTAGCTTCTTAATTCCCAAGGCTCTACAATTTTTGTCTTTTACACCATGTGCATATTTCCTGTTTTATGAGATCCACTGACAGTAGCACTTCTTGGAACTTTTACCTTTCTTGCAATCCTTTCGACATGGAGATTTCTGACATGTTAACCTTATTGGATCTTTTGGCACCTATCTCGTTGTTCACCCGACATGATCAAAGATCATCTTGGAATCTTTAGTATTTTCATGTGGAAGTTCTTCTTTCAATGCTGTACTAGTGTCCCTACCAACAACTATATTGCCAAGGTATTCTGGAAGGCTCCCGCTCCTTTGAAGGTAAAGTTTTTTGTTTGGATTGCTATTCATCATAAACTGAACACTAATGATTTGCTCCAAGTCCTCCACCCTTACCGGGTCTTCTCTTTGGACGTCTGTGTCATGTGCTTTAAGAGTGGGGGAACTTATGCCTATTTGTTTCTCCATTGCGACATTGCTTGGAAACTTTGGACGGATCTCTTTAATTTTTTATTCCATTGCTATTTCCCTCCTATGGTAGAAAATTTCCTTTCAGTCTATATTTCAAAGAGAGGCTTGAGGAAAAAGGGTTTACCTCCTGTGGCAATGTGGCAATGTGGCAATGTGTTCGCTGGTCTTTGGTGCATTTGGCTTGTTTGTAACTCTTTTATCTTTAACAACAGACTCACTACTTTCACTAATCTTTAGGAGAGCATTACTTTTTTGGCTACCCTTTGGGCCAAGGTGCGTGGTCATTTTTGTGGCATCAACATTTCTATTCTCCACATAAATTGGGTTATTTTTATTAAAAGCACGTAGTCTTTTTGTTTGTTTGTCCTTCTTTCTCCCTCCTTATTTCTTTCTAGGTTTGCGGTTTCATTGTATCTTTTGGGGGATAACTTGTTCTTCTTTGATGTAATTTTCTCTATCTCTTTCTCAATAAAATCTTTTTTTTTTTTTATCGAAAAAAGGATAAATATGAATGTAGTTTCTAGGATGTGGGAGTAGATAATTCCAGCTAGGGAAGTTATTATCTTAAAAGCATTATGCTTTCTTATCTAAAGATAGAGAGTAACAATTTGAATTGGATAGGCTTAAATTTATTGGTAAGTTTCTTGAATACTTTAAGTTCTAGGAGATCTTTGGGTTTTCTCTTAACGAACTCATACTATTAATTAAAAATATATTTTTTTGATAATGTTGGAAAGACTGCATGGGGAGAGAGATGTATCAAAGATTGTATATGAAAAAAGACACATTTCAGGAGTGTATTCAGTTGAATATTGTCAACACCAATAGAATTGATCTCTAGTTGGATTGTTGGCTTTAGGGCGATGTGTTGAGGACTAGGGTTTTACAGATTTATGCTATTGCTCAACATAAAGATATATCTGTTAAAACAAGGCCATTAGTAATGATGAATGTAGGAGGGAGTGGCATGGGGAGGTCTTGAGGAACCTTAATGATCGGAACATTACTGAACATGAAGCCTTACTGTCTACGCTAGAGTTGGTTGCTTTAAATGAAGATTATGATCAACCAGTTTGGAAATTCAATACTTCTAGGCAATTTGCCTTCAGATCATCTTGCAGGCACTTGACAAAGAAGGAGTCAGTGGCGAGTAGTTTTCCTTATAGACAGATTTGGAAGATGAAGATCCCCCTTTAGGGTTGCTTTTTCTTTTGCATATGAAGCAGGTAGGAAGTGTATTTTGACTACAGATAAGTTAAAGAACGGGAGAAAGATTTTGGTTAATTGGTGTTGTTTATGTGAGAGGGCATATGAAACATGCAATCATTTGTTCCTTTGGTGTCTCGTGCATAGTTTGTGGTCAATGGCATATAGGTTGTTTAGAGTTAATTGGGTTGTTGCTGGTGCTTTGAAAGAAGAACTATGGGCGTGGAAAGGTTTTGCCAAAAGGAAGAAAAGTCCGAGGCTTGTTTCTCTGGCGATACTTTGGGTTGTTTGGAAGGAAAGAAACAAAATAGTTTTTGAAGTGTTAGAAGAGAGTATTGACGGAATGCGAGAGCGATGGTTTCAGATCCTTGGTC